AAGCCAGCTGGGGCCTTGTATTCAGACTTCACCTGGTACAGGCATAAGCAATTTTTGAACCTTAGGGTACATATGATTATCATAGAATATTGTACTTGGTCCCTAGGGTCAAATTCAATACATAAGAGAAAATGCAATTTGAAATGAATTGACAATCTACTGAAATGAAAGTAAATTTCTCCTTTGAAGGAAGAACTAACAAAAAATAACTTTTTGATGGAACTTTAATTTATAAAAAATAATTTGGAAAAAATAACAAGGGATTTTTGTTATAGATGACGTACCTCAGAGTTGGAAATGTCATTGTAGGAACAAGAATTATCATCATGAGCAAGAAGAACAGCTTCTCCTCTAGAAACAAACCATCATCCAGTTGAAACCTTCTGACCAATTTCAGAAAGCTGATAAATGGTAGAATCCTCAGTATCTACGCATGACATTGACGGAGGATTAATCTCGGGAGTACCGATTTCTTCAAGTTTTTCATTAGACTCCAGTTCAACCTCCTGTTGCTGCCCTCTAATCATGCTGCTTGTATCATATTGGCCTGATGATGTATTCTCTGGTTGCATTTTGTTTGCCATGCGATTAGTTAATTGCACGTTTACATCAAACATTCTAGGTTTAGGTTGCTCTTCTCTTAAAGAAGCCAAAAACTCTAGCGCAACGGGGTTTTCATCAGTGAAACCATCAAATAAATATTTGGGGCTCCATTCATCCTTGAATAAGCTAGTTTACAGCACTTAATTTGTTCCCCTGAGATGACTGATGAAACGAGTTCCCTCATTAACTTGTGATGTGAGAAGAATCTAGCTTCCAGTTTTTCATGTTCTGAGCTTTTAATATAAGGTAAAGAATTCCTTGGTATCTCTCTAAGATTTGAAATTACACAATCGTCGAATTTGCCTGAATGTGAAAAAAGAATTTCAAATTTGGCCCCATCCTTAATGTTATCCACTTTTTCAACACCAAGTATTTTCTTCTGGATATCAGAAAGAACAAGCCCAGATTTACCTGGCTTGTTCTTATCTAACATGTCTTTGGTTTGCTTGATCTCCAAGGCTATTTTTTGAACCTTGCCTTCTAATAGTGCAAGCTTCTCATGAAGGTTGCTCTGATATCTATTAGCAGTACAAGCATCTTTCACAGATCCCAACCCATCATTTCCCTTAGCTTTTACTGCTTCAGTATCTAGTTGCACTGCTTCTTTTCTATGATGCACACGAATCAAAGAAGTGTTTGCAAGTTCACCTTGGAAATTACCAAAATCATTTGAAACATTGGCATTATCGTCTGGGTGTGAATTCGAGCAATTTTTCTCCATATGAACTGATGTATTATCAACACAGACCCCTCCCGTCTTTTCTGGATTTAGGACTTTTGATAAGGAACTAGCGGCCATAGAACTCCGAGCTTTTCTATCTTCATCATTGTCACTTCCCACTGTTTCATCTCCGTGACCACATTTATCAATGTGCTTTACCTCAACCAAAAAAACTTTTTCTCCATGACTTTCTAAACCCCCTACCTCATTACTCCCAATCCTATCCACTGGCTCCATGTTAGGACCAGAAAAATCTTTACCGACGCTGTTTTGAGAATCAGATGGACCAATATATGCTTCTTCAGCTCTGCGACCAACTTTCTTTAAAGCCTCATAAGAACTCCGCTGAGGTTTTTCCCCCAAACACCCTTTAGATTTGCAACCATCTGTAACTCCTCTCTTCAAGTTCACATATTTCTCACTCTTTACACCAGGGTTCTTACCCAGTTGGGCTTTTGCCGCCAGTTCCTTATCAAAAGTCCTAAATCCAGAAAAGCTTCTCCTTTCCCCGAAGCTAGAAATTCTAGTGATGGCATCGCCAGGAAAGTTAGCAACTTTACCTCTGGAAAGGGAAGATGTGGAGCGTAGGACGGCAGTTGCAGGCTTCTCAGCATGCTTGGGAAGCGGGTTATCAGAACGAGCAACAGTAGTCCGGCCGGCTGAGAGGGGCTCGGTTTACCATTTCCGGCGGAGCAGCAGGTCATTAATGGACGACCAGTGGATTTGGGGCGGGGATTCTCCTTACCATGATGGTCAAGCCGTAGGATCTTGAGATGAGTCTTGGGAGCTTTTTTTGGGCTGCAGCGAGGGGAAGACTGTGCGATCTTGGCTTATCTTGGAGATGGTGAAGGAAGGGTTTTTGAGGTCATAGAAGCGATGATCTTTCCACTCATCTCAGCCTCTCGGCCCTCGATCCCACGGCTTTATCATCATGGTAAGAGAATCCCCGCCCCATCTCCGCTGGTCGTCCGTGCTCCGCCGGAAATGGTAAACCGAGACCCCTTTCGTCCGGCCGGGCTACTGTTGCTCGTTCTGATAACCCATGCTTGAGAAGCCTGTGCCGGAAATTATAAACCTTGACATTTTTCTAGGGTTTACGTTTTGGGACAGAGGGATCAGTCGCGCAAGTGAGAGAGAGCGACAGATAATGCGAATTTTAGAAAGGAGCTGCATTTAACCAGAGTAAAACAATAACGTTCAGAAGCACTTTTCCGTATGAGGAGCTCGAACTATCCCAGTGCTACGGAAGAAGAAAGATTCGGTGTTGGCGCAGAGGAGATCAATTAATCCATTCGAGCCTTCGGTAATTGATCGGCATTTAAGAAGCTATCAAGAAGGTCTGGGTCGTCTCCGATAAAAAAAGGACAATTTTTTAAACTAAGTACCATTTAAAATTTAATTAAGCGATTAACCAATGAAAAAAAAATTAAACTCGTCAAAGTCGCCCGTTTAACGGGCGACTTACTTATTTAGGATAAGTCGCCCGTTAAACGGGCGACTTACCTCTTTTCTTTAACCCCCCGCGGGGACCCTTTCTTGCCCTAAAAATCTGTTGCTTTCGGCGAAGGAGGAATCGGCGAGCTCGGCATATCCGCAAGGTAAGGGTGTTTTTAATTTTTTTTGGATGTTTTTGTGTTAAATTTCTTTGCTTTATGAGTTTTTTTTCATTTAAATTACTTGTGTTGGATGTTTAGGGTTAGTTTAGTGATTAGATTTAGGGTTTGTGTGTGCTTTGTAGTATTTTTTTTGTGAAAGCATGAGGAAAACTTATTTTTTGCTAGGATTTATTTGGGAAAATGTAGATTCAATTATGTTGTTCATGTAACTAAATTTTTGTGAAACTTCTTGTGGAAAAAACATCAAAAAATCTTAATTTGATTTGTGGGAATTGTTTTTTGATATATTTTTTATTTAATGAAATTAATATATGAAAATTTTTTAAAAATAATGAAAGGTTATAAGGACATTTTTGAATAAAATTGATTTAAATTTATATTATATATTTCATCAAATTAATATAAGGATATTTTTGTTCATTTTATTTCGTTTCTTAGACAACGAAATTTTCTTTGTCAAATATGAATACGAAAGTCATCGATTCGTGTTAATGTCAGATTTTGATATCGAAGTACAACATAGATCATTGTGGGCAAGTAAAAGTTTTCTCTATTAAAAAATTTTTTAAAAAATATTTATCCTTTTGTGAAAAAAAGAAAGATATATATTTAAATATATTTAGTTAAATGCTTATGTGAGATTTTGATTATTTCAGTGTAGTAAGATTGTGTTGTGTAATTGTAGGTAATCATTAACGATACTTAGTAGTGCAACAATGTCTGGACGGGGA